AATCCATGGTCTCGAGCCAACTAAATTTCTTTTTCATCTTGACTCGTCTTTAGTTAATATTCGCAAACTTACCTCAACAACTTTTCTGCTGAAGTATATGTGCAAATCATCCGTTTGAAGCTGCAAAAATACCTCGCCTCCGGGAACGTTACGAAGATCTTCTGGAATATTGCTCGGATCTACAGTCCTTTTGTGAGCGTTCGCTGCCCTGAAAAAGCACCAGAGATAGTAGCAAATAATTAAAAGATGTAAAATACACTAACTTGGCAAATGTTCTCCTTCTTTGCTCGTAACTCCTTCCATGAAATTTACCAAGCACTTTTTCTCTTTCTTCGAGTGCTGAAAAATTGCAAATAAGCTAAGCTGTTTAGCTTTACAAAAAAAATTCACTTCTCCATGTGTCGTCGGTTAATATAGCATGGGCGGTTTCCGAGAAATGCCTGTAAGGTGTTGTTTTGTAAGCCTTTTTGTCTTTCCTCATGGTTTGGCATGCCTGCAAAAATATTATATTTTTTTTTGAAATAACTGGATTTATTCTAAAAAAGCTACCTGATAACCATGACGATTCGCCTTATCACAATAGCGATCCAGAGGAATACAATTGTGGGATAACATGCATGGATCACTTTCAAAAACATCGTCTTGCACCTTCAAGTTTTTCTTTGCTTTTTGAGTTGAAATTCTAGGTAAATTAGCCTTTAGAAGATTCTACTTACTTGGACTGAAGTGTAGCAATCGTTTTGTTGCTGGCATCCGCGGCAACGATATATGATCGTTCCTCCTTGTTTAATTTTTCTGTGGTGGGAAAAAATATAACATAAAGGAGAATTTGGGATATCATATAATAAAACAAAATTTGTTCCTCTTTTACTCATCTCTTTTTCACCGCGATAGATGGGCTGCGCTTCAGGAATAATTTCCTCATTTGCAGAGGTGTGAATCACCACAGGCGTAGATGTCTGAAGTTCTATTTTTTTTAGAATTACTGAAATGCGGACTGCTTGCTTACCTCAGGAGCTTGCAATGCCACAGCTTCGTTGTTGCTTTCGCTTTCCAAGTACAAATCGCTGTTTTGCAGATAAAGTTCATTTGGAGTGATAGTATTGTTCGACGTAAACAATTGCTGAATTTTTTTAAGAGCGTAGTAAAAGATTTATATTGAAATTTACTTACCTGTGGTCCTAACAATAACTGTTGAGAGCTAAGATCCGACGTTGCGTAAAATTGCTGCATTGCTTGCAGCATTTGCACATTGTAAAAATCGTAGAATGACATGGTATGAATATCGAGTACACCACTAGTGGACTGTCTGACATTTTTTCTCCTATCTATAGGAAATTTTTAGCCTGAAATTGTTTTTTCGCCCTTTCCTTGCCCAAAGACCTTTTTGGTCATTTCATTGCTCTGGGCATACTCGTCGGCGGTTTGTGTTCACACATCGGTGCATCTGTCGTTGACAAGTTAACTATCACGTGCATGGCAATCATGACTAATTGCAGGTAAATGAATCTCGTCAAATTATATGTATTCAGAATATTTTAGTTTTAAGTAGCTTGGTAATTTTGGATTTTTATTTTTGGAGTTTAAAACAGCATGGACCCTGACACTTGGATTGGTCTTTATAAATAAGCAGATTTTTATTTGATGTTGAAGTCCGTTTTGGATTTGAGAAATTTTTGACATTGACACAATTTTCGTTTTTCGATCTAAGGTATTATTAGAGCACGATAGTTTAGTCGAATTTGGATTCATTTTATTTTCTTAAACATAGCAGATTTTTTCCATTTGTCTTCCAAGTTTATCAAATTTGCAATGAAATTTCCGAAAAAGTTTCAAATTCAAAATAGAAAAATTTTGAGGTTTCAAGCAAAACCATCAGCTTTTTAGGAAACAGCATGTCAGAAAACCCCTACAGAGGATTTTTGAAATTTTTGTTTGTGAAAACAAGTTTTAATTCAAAAAAAGAGAAAAATCCTAGGTTTCAAGCAAAATGATTAACATATTCAGAATCAGCGTGTTAGAATACCCCTAAATACAAGTTTTTGATCTAATTGGACAGAATTTACTACTGAACTTTGAATTCAAATTTCAAAAAAAAATTCCGGTTTCATAGGGTGCAGGATGATGACGGAGTTACCGTGAGCAGGATCAGCTCATCTTCGGTGCAGAATGAGTGCAAATTAGCGTTGCTGCCAGTTCATGACCTCTCATGAACTCCGCTAATTGGGCGGCGGCAACCCTATGGTGTATGTAAGTTCCGTTCCCCCACTTAGGGTAGCCTCAACGCTGCAACGTACCTCAGGAGGGTTGCGCCTTGAACTACAGCGTGTAAGAAGTGCGGCTTTTGATAGGGCTCGCGGCCCGCCGAGTGAAGTGGTTGGGCCGCGACCTTCCCGATAATCTCTTCCCGATTTCAACTTTGGCCGCGGCGTTCCCGGTAAAATATACATGGGCCGCGGCGTGTGCGGCTGAAATTTTAAGGGCCGCGGCGCGCCATGTAACACGCTTTGAGCCCGCGAACTTTCCGATGCAATTGTCTGACTAAGAAGTATCGTAGAAGGTAAGAAGATGAGGATACACAGTATGATTTGGGAGAGAATTTTTTGAGCATAAGGCTCAAGAAAGTTGAAGAGTGATTTGTGTTGCTGACATGTTGGAAATTTGTGAGAGTAAACCTCTCTGTGCTTTATTAATTGAAACTTTTAGGCGTGTTTGAATGAATTGAAAAAAAATTCAATATAAACTTTAGAAAGATGGATTTTTATTCAGGATATCCGAGCGAAGGTTTTTAGAATTCAGCACTCACACAACAGTTCTAAAGACACTTATAAGAAAGAGGTTTGTAAAACATTTTTCGGTAGATAGTGAAGGCTCCAAACTTTTTATATCCAGATCGCTTCTTGGACAATCATCAACAAAGTCGAACTTGTTTACGGAACTTTGGATGTCGATATCAAAGCTTTAACGGATTACCGTATTGTTACAGCAGTGGTGAGCTATTTCTCAAAATTTATGCGCAAATTATTGGACTGGAATCTAGGTTTTGCAGCGTTGTCCATAACTTTACGATATCCGAATGAGGTGTTCCGACAAAAATGCAAAAATTGTTTGATTTTTGATAGCAGAAAGGAAAAGATTCAAGAATTTCTTGGAGTTCGGTCAAAATTGAGGTCTTACGGTTTTTCAGCAAATTAAGCTTTCACCTGAACCAATTCACTGAGAGAAAACTGTAGAGAAAGTGTAGGTAAATTGACTGTTGAGTTCAGCTCAAAAACATTTGTGATTTGAAGACAAATCGTCATTTGGTGTCCTCGAGAAACGAACGAATCTAGTGAATCTAACCTGCTTCGGAACTCTGCCAGTGCTAAAGAGTTGCAATTGTCAGATCTTGCCGAGAGTTTGCATAGTGAAATAATTCAACCTGCTAAACTGTCTCCCCTTGGATCGTGTTTCACCCAACTTGCAACAGTTCGCATTTCTGCTCCGTCATAATGGCGCTTCTTATACTTACTTCACATGCGACGGCATAGTTTTGCAAGCAGGCTGAACTTGCCACGCAAGTTGTCTTGATAGTACCAATCAGCGGTGTACCGAGAGGGGAAGGGGCGAACCACCCTGCCCCCCCCCCCCGAGCATGGTCGCGAAATCTCTGAAACATACTTGCATGAGTTGTAAATTGTGCAAGTGACTCGTTTATACTGGTAAATAATTCAAATAAGTCTTAGGATTCTTAAAAATTCAAATTAGCCTTGTGAAAATTTTTTTGGGCTGTGGCCTCCGCCACACTCCCTTTTCGGGGTTATGGGTCCGGTTAAATTTTGGGAAGTACCCCGAAATTTTCAGAGTGCGGGCTGACAACACCTACATTCACCTGAAAATTTTGTTTGTCCCCGCCCTCCCTTCTCCCCCCCCCCCCTTAAATGGGAATCGTGGGTACTCACTGGTGCCAGTGAATGAGCGCGCCATACTCAAAGAGGAAAACAACGTTACGGAAGACTTTATTCTAACTAGCAAAATGAGGTCAATATTGTGGCCAAATTTTCCAAGAAATTATTATCAGTCAAAGGTGATAAGCTTTGGCGTATCGCCTTTCATCTTCGGTTGCAGATGACTTTTGTTTGCGCTCGTTACATGTGGTGTTTCATACGGATTGACGACGCGACGTAGCACGCGCGGGCGCGAATATGTGGGCAGTCCACCTTTTATATATTTTAGATTACCAATATTTATTTTTTTCCTTATTTTACACTTTTGTCGTGATACCTACTATACTTTGGAATATACGAGAATTTTTTCGAATAATCGAATAACCGAATAAATTCGAAAATCAAAAATAT